AGAATGAAGCAGGAAGAAAATGAATAAATTCATCTAAACAATTCAAAACAGTAACCTAAACAAAAAGTCTAAATGACTCTGCCTTGGCATATTAGAAGAAAATCATGTCATTGTTGTTGCATTTGTAAAATTGCTCTTTAAACTGCAGTCTGGCTATAATTTAATGGCCACTATGTAATATGTTATGTTCTGCTTTGTGCACACAGGAATTGTGGGTAATATTTAGCAGCACTATTCTATGGTGTCTCCTAGCTCTCCCAGAAGAAAATGTATTCCATACGGCGGAAATATTACAATATTCATTAAAAAAACATAATAAATAAATATTATAAATATATAAATACAAATAATTATTTTGTCAAATCAATTTACATAATTCAGATAACATAATATTTTGAGTTTCTGTTGATTAAAAAAAATCTCCTTTATTATATTAACTAAAAATTTTAATTTCAATGTAAGTTAAACCAGCAATATTTCAATATTTCTTTTACAGTTATCGTTCTTGGTGTGATCGAGCCTTAAGAGCACAGAGGAATAAAATAAACGTGCGTATTAGTATTATACTCGCTCGATACCGATGAACATCTCCATTTCATCTCATCGCTGTCTAAGAGAAAACAACTGAGATATTAAAGAGATCTCATTCATGACTTTACCATCCAACAGGTAAGTGCACCAACCAAAACAGTTTTTTCATTCCTTTTTCCAATGAATTTTTCATTCATTCCTGAACGGAGGTGTAAGAGTTGGGCAGACGACACATGAGGGTCTCATTAATCTCGGAAGAGGTTTTACGTGCCTCTCCGTCAAACATCATGCTGATTTTATCTCAGCTTTGACAGAAACGCCACTGACTGTAACCCATCTGCTTATGTTCCCTTCAGTTTGCTTTTACACGTCTGAGCTTCAGGCTGGTGGTGTGATGGTAGAAATGTGTCAGTCGGTAGAGATTCGGCTGTGCGTTGACATTGCGTTGCTGTTGATATACTATACCATGTGCAATGGAAGATTGCTTGCATTGTTCCTCACAGTTGCTTTAAATACATTATAAAATTAAAATGTTGCATTTTTATACGACTGGATTTTATGGAAGAAGATTAGGGCCAAGCAATAATACAAAAATAAAACCATCTTGAGATTAAAGTCATTAAATATCGAGAATAAAATCGTTGGGTTTCAAGAAAAAACTTGTTAAATTTCAAGAAAAAAGTTGAAATACAATCTTGAGAATAAACTCATTAAATATCGAGAATAAAGTCGTTGTGTTTCGAGAAAAAAATCGTTAAATTTTTGGGGAAAAAAGTCGAAATACAATCTTGAGAATAAACTCATTAAATATCGAGAATAAAGTCGTTGCGTTTCTAGAAAAAAATCGTTACATTTTGAAAAAGAAAGTCGGAATACAATCTTGAGAATAAACTCATTAAATATCGAGAATAAAGTCATTGTGTTTCGAGAAAAAAAAAATCATTAAATTTCGAGAAATTAAGTCGAAATACAATCTTGAGAATAAACTCATTAAATATCGAGAATAAAGTCGTTGTGTTTCGAGAGAAAAAAATCCAAAATATAATCTTGAGAATAAACTCATTAATTTTCGAGAATATTATAATACGCAAAAACAATACGCTTTTTAATTTTTAATAATACGCTTTAATAATAAAAATAATACGCTCCAAATAATACGCAAAAATAAGATTAATTCGTGTAGTATTTAATTCACTGGATTATTTAATCATAAAATAGACAATACCTCATGTTTATTAAAAACTAAATAAGGTTTTTCATTTTAGTTTCTTAATAGAAAAACATTCTTAGACTCTGGTCAATTAAATTTTAAAGAACCCTTTATGTAAAAAAAAAATTACATTTAAGGAGTAATTATATATGAAGGAACCTTTTCTGCTAATCATGTCACCTTTAGATGGCTTAGTTGGGAAAATTTAACATTTAACTTTTAATATTCAACAATATTATTGATATATGAGAACTGAACTGAGCTGTTATTTATTTATTTTTTTTACAACAGAAATGAACCATCCCTGAACTTACTGAAGCTGGACTGTGACACTATTTACTTATTCTTATACATTATTTTCCCGTTATCTCTGTAAAGCTGCTTTAAAACCCTCTGTATTGTAGAAAGCGCTGTATGAATTAAGGTGACTTGACTTGACTTACAGCCATCCTTGTTTTTAATGTCCAGTGGACGCTGATAATGCATCTGCACAGAATCCCCACTCCCAGTGGCATGATGGGAATATCCAATCCAAACCACTGATCGTAGATTTGTCTGTTTATGTTTTCCCAGTCTCTAGTACGGTTCCCGAAACTCTCTGGCTCTTTGCAGGCCTCACCACTCCAAAAAAACCTTGTAACTGTGACTTCTGGAAGCCTGTGGCTATTTTTCTTATGATGGACAACCTGATAGACAATGAGCTGTCCGGTTTTATGAACGTTTCGGCTCTTGAAACTTGAGTTCGTGGAGCGTATTTCCATCGACTTGTCTCTGCATCTGTCGTAAACGGGTTTAAAGTAGTTACTTCGTGCTTCCAAAACACAGATACGCGATCCAACACAGTGAGTGCGTGGTTTTTGCGTTTGTGAAACCATATTTATTTACTCTGGGAAGGTTAATAGTGCATTATTATATCTGTCACTGAGCCCTATGGCACTGCAAACCCGTTTTTTTAGCTCTATGATAGCATTTTGTCTCCAAGTGAGTCTCATAGACTTGATTTATAGGATTTCTTTAAGCCACTTCACACTCGTGTAAACAGACGTTTGCTTTGCGGCCTGCGTGAGGAAATTTGAAGTTTTACAGGTTCATAGCAAATCAATTACAGTCTGATGGCTGACACGAATAAATGTGGCTATAATCTTGATTTAGTTGGCAGACATATGCAAACAAAGCGCTTAGATCAATATAAATGTAGCGCAGCGAACCCTATAAATTAGTATTTTGTGTTTATCCTGTTTGCTAACCAGGGCTTGACATTGACACCCACCAAATTCACTCCTGCTAGCCACTTTGCCGGGTTTTTTCACGTGTGCCATTAGTAAAGGTTGAGCTTTGCATAGCTAGAGCTGACATTACTCAAGCTAGTCTTTGCTAACTAATCGAGGGCTGTAAAGGCCTATCTTTGCGAGCGCACGTGTGGCTTCTGACGATCTGAAAGCCCAGGAGCTAGAGAATTTACCTCAGACAAACAACCAGGCACAACTACAGACAAAACAAATTAGCGTCTTGGAATGAGACTCAAAACCCAAACAAACACCAAAGATTGTTTGGCCAAGAAAGCTCACCAGTTTTAACTCCGTGTGCGTGTTTATTTTTCTGTTTTCTGGTTTTGATTTGCTTAAGTTTGCCCTATGTGAGGTCTCCATTCTGAACATGAAGATGCACGCAAGACTGAACAACCAGAATGGGTAATCCCACAAAAAAAGAGTGCTTCCCATTTTTTCCGCACATCGTAGGTTGCCCTCGAGTTCAAGATGGAGGAAAACAATTAAAAGTTTCTCGACGCAGCAATGCGCTTTCCATGACTGCAATAGTTAATGATTAGTAGGTAAACACTGTAAAGATGGCCTCGAGCGGCCATTCCTTGCATTTAAGAATCTAAAAGACAACGAGGGACACTTCAAAATGGCTGTTTTGAAACATGCTAGCTTTTAGTTTTAGCTGGTTTAAAAACCAGCCTGACCACCTTTAACCCTATAAAGCTACTGTATCATATTATAAACACAATATCTAAGGCCTCTAAATGATCAAAACTTTGTTGAAAAACCTGTATCTACTGCTTGCTTTCCATTGTCTGATTGAAAGTTTTTAGCAAGTAAAAATTGTACAATTTTTTTCCTTTTTTTTTTTTGCTGTGAAATCTTTAATTGGTTTTATAATGTAAACGTAAGAATAACTTTTATTTTGTTAGCATTATTTTATGATGAACATTACTGGACTGAAGCAACTTAGGCTAGGCTTACTTGATTATTCATACATAATTTCGCAAAATAATTTTTTTGAAGATTCTTAATCACCATGAAATCAAACATGACCATTATTTTATAAAATATCATGTGTTTGTTTGGAATTATTTATCCGTGCACATAAAAAAAATAAAAATAAATGAAAAGTTTGGCGGATTTTGATATGAATAGACAACCAAACACATAAAAAGAACAAGTATGTGCGTTATAACTTGCTGCCACATCACAAATGGTGAATCTATAATTGTTTTCTTTATATTTAAAACCCTTTTTTACTTATATAATTGAATGGATGCTATCTATTGAACACTTGGCATGAAATCAAACTGAGGTTTCTACCCTTCTTTCATGCAAATTGATCAATTACGGCTCCTCTGTAATTTATTCAAATATGCCAAACAGTCACCAAATATGGAAACTAGAGAGCTTTCAAATGATATATAGTTTGTCAAGATTAGTTTAGGTTTAGTATAGGTTATTATCGTTTTAAAAATGTAATGGATTTGGGCCCGGTGACAATACCGATGGACATAATGTACAGAAACCTCAAACTAAATGCATCATAAGAGCCACTAATGTTGGAAGCAACCAATCTAAAATGGTCAAAAAGTTACAATGTGTTTCATCAAAACTGTACAAACGCACCCCAACGCTGGTTCATTGCAAGTCCGAGAGCTTGTTTTGTTGACATTTTTGTGAAGGATCTCTATTTCACACAATTCATACATGACACGTCGTTAAAGATATTTGTGTCCTCACCAAGCCAAACGCCGTTTGTGGTTCCTCCATGTCACTCCCAGAGCAGAACAATATTTTCCTGATTAATAATTTTCAACCAGCAGATGTTCTTCACAACATATAAATATCAGAAAATGTCTACTTTATTGAAACCACAAAGGGATTCTGGGACTGTCCAAGACACACAACCTTCCTGGAGAGGTCACTCGCCCTATTTTCTGCTCTGGTGGGCAGGGGAACAGTAGTGACCATTGGAATGCTCTGGTTTTGGGTTGTATGTTTGAGCTTAAGCCTTCCTGATACCCTCTTCCCAAACACACCGACCAACCGGCCCCTGGCATCTCAGGCCACGGCCCCCAAAACCGGAGGCTCGGAGCCCAAATCCACTCCTTCCCTCGTTTATGGACCTCCTGAAAACAGCAGCAGGGTGTAATCTGTGGAATGACCAGAGCATCTGATAAAGGCTTGTGTTCTTGCAAATGGATTACTGGAGATGCTTGGCATCCAATTAAAACTCTTCTTTTCCCACCATTTCATCGCAGATGATTAAGTTCCAGGAAGGCATCTTGTAAGATTAAGCAAACCCAAAGATTATCAGGTCAAAAGTGAAAGGTCAATCCCAAGAGGGCAAAGCAGGTGATGACCTGAACGTTAGAGTTGGTGCAGTGAAAGCAACCAATCCACAACGGACAAAAAGGTACAATGTGTTCCATCAAAACTGCCATCCAATCATCCAAATATATATATATATATATATATATATATATATATATATACGTATATATATATATATATGTGTGTGTGTATGTGTGTAAACAATAAGTGATGACAGATGTCAAAGCGGATATCATTTTTTAACAGGCTGTCATACAAAGAAATGATGAAAATGTGCAAAAAAATATTATATAGAACCAATGGAATATTAATAATTGATTATGTTGTAGTTAATGTTTGCATTTTCTTTGCAACATATCTAAAATAAATATATATTTTATATTTTAATTGGACGATATATACCAAATTATATATGTTTATAATAAAATAGTAATATAACATTAATTAAAACAATTATTTAAAATAATATCAATGATATTTATATACTATCATACTATTATACATACCATCAAACTATTATATTTTTAAAATATATAATCTAGTGTGAAATACATTATTAGTTATCTATTATATTTAATAATTTCTGTAATAAAATAATATTTGTATACTAAACATTTTACAAGTGCAACCTTCACCCTGCAAACCCTTAAATTTATAAATAAATAATTATTTGTTTCGTCCAACTTAATTCATTCAATCTTCTTTTCTAGAGTTGGCCGTTTTATTGTTTAGTTGAACTACATTTGGTTAAAATTTTGGTTTATATTTTATAATCAATCAATTATTTGGTGATATGCCGCACGTCCGAGAGCCCGTTTTGTTGACGTTTTTGGGAAAAGTCTTTCATACATAACGCGTCATTAACGATATCTCCCTGTTCGCGTTTCCTCCACGTCACACTTCCAAAAAGCAAGGCATCTTGTACAATTAAGCAAACCCAAAGATTATCAGGTCAAAAGTGAAAGGTCAAACCCAAGAGGGTAAAGCAGGTGTTGACCTGAACGATCCACGTCTGGGAATCTCTTCGTCCCCATTCACTCGACTTGTCTTACACAACCCATGTGGAAGTGTCTCTTTCTTCTTAGCCTAGCTTTGTTTCCTAAAGCCGCACTTTGAGGGGCTTAATCCGTGAGCCAAATTTACCGCCGGTTGATTATTCCCGCGCAACAATTAAAACTTCATTCCAGTGATTGGCACTGACTTTGGCGAGCCTGGCGCTGGAGCTTTGCCTGAGGGTTTTAGCAGCTTCAACTGAGTTTTGCTCATATTTTAGTACCATTTTCTAAACATATAGCGAATAAAATGTGATAATGTGAGAAATATTGACGGAGTCTGAATCAATTTTGGTTTCACTGTACCCGAGTTTATTAGATCATTGTCGTACAGTGTGATTCATAATGGGATTGCCGAAATCATCAGGCATTATAAGACTTTGGCCATTTCGCTAAACTTCTTTGGTTTTTCTGTCACATCCAGGAATAGTTATCTGGCCATCGCCAAGCCCAGAAGGATGAATGTGGCCACGTAAAGTCCCAGCGCTTCCTGTTTACAACAGCGTGTGACACTTTCTTGGTTTGCGTTTTCGAGCTGCCTCTGGAAAATCCTTTAGGAGCATCTCTATTTTATGCACATACAGCTCAGTATCGGTCAATGGGTCAGCAAACGCTGCACAAACTCAGCGTCACAACATAACAGAGTCTGCTGTTTTTAAAGGAAGTGCGCTGGACTGATGAAACCACTGAATGATGCTCAACTGAAACATGAAATATGAAACGTATATTCTCATGGCAAAAAGAAAACCACAAAGACGGATCAAGTCGGATCTCGTCATAGGCAAGCGCAGTGTTATTGTAGCTCATACGGGTCCCTGTACTCTTTGGAAAGTCCATGTTTTTCCCTTGGTTTTTGGAGACCAAGGCTGCATCCTAAATCACATACTTCCCAACTATATAGTAGGTCTGTCACTTTAAAAGGGTTAGTTCACCCAAAAATGAAAATTCTGTCAGTATTTACTCACCCTCATGTTGTTCCAACCCCGTAAGACCTTCGTTCATCTTCGCAACACAAATTAAGATATTTAAGATATTAAGATCGCTCCTGCATACTAGTCCATCGGCTTCTTGAGGGAATGACACTTGATGGCATCGAAAAGTCATCAAAAACATCGTTAAAATAGTCCAAGTGACTACAGTGGCTCAATTTTAACATTATCAAACGACGAGAATATTTTTTGTGCGCAAAAACAAACAAAAATAACGACTTTATTTCAACTATTCACTTCCTTCTCCATGGGCCTGTAGTCAGTTAGCGTAGTGTGATTGCGTAAAGCTACGTCACACGTAGGCTCACTATTGGCCGACGCTGGTCATGTGTGTGATGCGTGTGACTTACAATAACAGAAGCGTACGCTATTAAACTAGTAACCTGACTCGAACAGAGGGAGAAATAAACGATTAGTTGAAATAAAGTCGTTATTTTTGTTGTTTTTTTTGCGCACAAAAGTGTTCTCGTCGTTTGATAAACTTAAGATTGAGCCCCTGTAGTCACTTGGACTATTTTAACGATGTCTTTAATGACTTTTCGAGGCCATCAAGTGTCATTCCCTCAAGAAGCCAATGGACTAGTATGCAGGAGCGATCTTAATATCTTAAATATCTTAATTTGTGTTGCGAAGATGAACGAAGGTCTTACGGGGTTGGAACAACATGAGGGTGAGTAAATACTGACAGAATTTTCATTTTTGGGTGAACTAACCCTTTAAAATCGATTGGACCAACCAACACAAGTTTCGAAAACGAAAATAGGGAATTGATTTTAACGGCCTTTTTTTTTTTTTTTTTACCAACAATGCGTTTTAGGTGGACAGATCAATACAAATGCTTATTAATATTCGCTATTACTTCAATTCTAGTGAACAAGCGCGCCGTTATTTGTTGTGCAGTGACGTGTGCGTTCAAGTAAGCCAGAAATGAGCAGATTCTGTGCGATACGCTGTATTTAATATATCATGAGGATCCCGAGTTGCGTATTTGCACAGATTTGTCTTACACGAACTTCGCCAGCAAAGTGAGTGAACATAGAAACGCCAGATTGGCTTGTGATTTGACAGCGTTTCCCTCCAAAGTTAATTTTTACTCTCATTTGGCGAGTCGAGGGTGTTAATCTCAATCCCTGAATGTTGCGCTCCAGTTTGACATTGTGCAGAAACTTCACGCGAATAAATCATCAGAAATATTGCTGACTTGTGCGTCTCAAGCGCCCTCTTTACGCTCGTCCTAATGCCTGTTAGGTGTCCGTGGATTTGCCAATATTTGGTGTTGAAAATGGAAACGTCTTGGAAAATTGATTTTACAATCGATTCAATGAACACTTACGTCTCAAAAATCGAAATTGAAAAGTGACAGCCCTACTATACAGTAGGCAAACTTAAAATAAGTTTGTCTGAATTCACGGTATTCATAAAAGAGCAGGCAAGAGTGCCCGGATGACCTACTGCTGTACTTCAGAAGTGTGCATAAGATAAACACTTTACTATCCCATGAGGCCACAGGATTTGTGAATGACAGTGGTAGGTCACATGATATTGACAACATTGCACGACTAGATTACATTAATGCTATATAAAAATACTTTTTTAGGGGTTGCAAACGAATTACTATTAAGTACCTACTCAAAGTATGCAAATTCAGACACAGCACAAGAGACATTTCCATTTCTCACCAAGTGACGAACGAGTTACCAAATGTCAAGCAGAGCACATCTGAACTACATTCAGTCTACAATAACGTCAACTTACATGCAAACTCAACGTCATGCTAACCTATAACTTATTTCTGCCAGGGAATAAAAATATGTGTATTTCTATCTCACAAACTGGAAGACAACAGGGTTGACATTTCTGCTCCATTTTTAGATGTTTTTCTTCTTTACACCAAAAAATATGTTTGCCAAAGTTGTAAATGTCAGCATGACCATGAAAGTTCAGTTCTTTTAGGTTTTAAAATAAAACAAATAAACAAGCAATGATTCATTGTGTAACGTTTCCAACATGACATAAACTTACATGTGGATTGTGTAGCTCCTCTTTATGCCAAGTGGGTTATCTGTGGACAAACCAGAAATGTGTTCTGTTAGAGAGAGAAGACCAGAGAGCCACAATGTTTTTATCCTGTTCTTACAGGAATCCCACCACAGATATTCAAAACATTCATTACGGAAAGACGACTTCTTGATCACACGACAAATAGAGAAACACTGTCATCATGCAATGCATGTGTGCAGTGACAGTGTGACAAATAAAAATATATACAAATTCTGTATGATTTGTGCAGTTCTTTTACCTAAAATATATTTTTACTGTCATCATTCGAGTTAAACACATGAGCTTAGCATTGATCATAAAGCATTAAAGGTGGCTAATTCGTACGAATTCTTGTCTAAACCCACGTGATGGGTAGGTTTAGGGGCGGGGTCAGAGGTAAGTCACTCATACGAATTTGGCAACACATAAAATATGTACGAATTAGCGAAAATCATACGAATTCGTACGAGTGATGTCGTATTAATTAGCCACCTCGTAAAATTAGTGTGAATGGCCGTGAGATCGGGTCGGATCTTCACTTACAGTTTAAAGTGCCCCATTATTTTATTTTAAAGGCTCCTAATTTTGTTTTGGATCTACTAGAATAGGTTTACATGCATCCAAGGTCAAAAACACTTTTCTCATAATATAAATTTGTACATCACGTCTTTTCTCTCAGCTTTTGAAACAGTTCAAAACTATTCAAAAACCCCTTCTTTTCGAGAGTGTACTCTGCTCTGATTGGTCAGATGGCCCAGTCTGTTGTGATTGGTCTACTGTGCTCTGATTGGTCAGATGGTCCAGTCTGTTGTGATTGGTCTACTGTGCTCTGATTGGTCAGATGGCCCAGTCTGTTGTGATTGGTCTACTGTGCTCTGATTGGTCAGATGGCCCAGTCTGTTGTGATTGGTCTACTGTGCTCTGATTGGTCAGATGGTCCAGTCTGTTGTGATTGGTCTACTCTGCTCTGATTGGTCAGATGGCCCAGTCTGTTGTGATTGGTCTACTGTGCTCTGATTGGTCAGATGGTCCAGTCTGTTGTGATTGGTCTACTGTGCTCTGATTGGTCAGATGGTCCAGTCTGTTGTGATTGGTCTACTCTGCTCTGATTGGTCAGATGGTCCAGTCTGTTGTGATTGGTCTACTCTGCTCTGATTGGTCAGATTGTCCAGTCTGTTGTGATTGGTCTACTCTGCTCTGATTGGTCAGATGGCCCAGTCTGTTGTGATTGGTCTACTGTGCTCTGATTGGTCAGATGGCCCAGTCTGTTGTGATTAGTCTACTGTGCTCTGATTGGTCAGATGGCCCAGTCTGTTGTGATTGGTCTACTCTGCTCTGATTGGTCAGATGGTCCAGTCTGTTGTGATTGGTCTACTCTGCTCTGACTGGTCAGATGGTCCAGTCTGTTTTGATTGGTCTACTCTGCTCTGACTGGTCAGATGGCCCAGTCTGTTGTGATTGGTCAGATGGCCCAGTCTGATGTGATTGGCCTACTCTGCTCTGATAGGTCAGATAGCCCAGACTTGTTGAGGCAGCAAATTAATATAGACAGTTGTTATGCAAATATATTACAAACCTACATAGGTTTGTGCAGGAAGTAAGACTAATTACTGATGACTCGATTCTTTCTTTTGGGAGAAAATAGCTCAATTTATCTGCACTTTGATCTGTGATCCTTTGCAGACCTCATACATTCACAAGCAGATATTTTACAAACTTCATGAAAGGTAATATATGTAAAAAAAGGTAATAAGATTCAAAAAGCAGGAATTAGGTGGTTTTAAGAGTCAACTGGCCTAGTATTATGTGACAGAGAGCTCTTTTGGTGCATTGTATTAATACCTCAAATCTAAATGGAGTGAGAGATCCAACCAATCATATTTAGGTTCAAAGAAGCCATGCTAATCATCCCAACAATCAGTGGAAATGAATCCCACCAAGAGCTTGCAAAATTGTCCACCGTCTTTTCCAACCAAACAGTTCTGAAAGTTACTGTGAGCCACGGAAAGATAGAGTTTTACGAGCCAAATGCATTTTGTAACGTGCTGAGTGAATGCAGAAGTGAAAATGGAGGAGAAAAGCCACAAATTATGGTTTCTCGTGTGAGGTATAACACCGAAATGAAACCGCTTCGGGAAGCTTCTGTTCCTCTCGACGGAGGTGTCGCAAAGCTTTTCCACAACAAGCATCTTTACTGGCTTCACATATTACTGCAATGCTTCATCTATGCCCCTTCCTTCTTGGCAAGAAAACCAGTAATAATACAATATTTCCTTCTGTTTAATGCCAGCTAAAACTTTGATATTGAAAAGCAGCCCGGTCATAGACCTATTGTGTAACTGGCCTTGCATACATATAGTGTCCTGCACACACACACACTAGTAAAAAATATCAAAAATGGTGTCTGAATAATTTTTGGTTTGACTGTATAAGCGATCTCTACGCTTCTGAACTCCTTACCGAGTCGTCGGGATGGTATTGTGTACGGTGCTCGCAGATGTACTGTGGATTCATTATGTATAGACGTCTTCGCCTTCTACGGTCGACCATCACCCAAAGGTGTTCTTGGCGTTCACACTCGGGCTGTGAGCCTCGTGGTTAGTGTGGCTGCATTTAGATTTGCGGTTTTCTGAGCTACGCCTCCAAGCTTTTCTTGGACCCTCACTGCTGTGCACACTGGCATGATGGAGCTGTTTCTTATGAGAATGGATCCAGGATATACTGTATCAAGATAGTCCTCGCAAACCACTGCGACTAGATTTACATGGCCGAGAGAGCTGATCTGGAAGTCTCTGGCGATGTTATCAAAGTCATATCGAGTATACAGGGTTATTGGCATTACAGCATCTGAAATATGACTTGCTGCGGGTTCAATTGTCTCTGCAAAGCAAAACAGAGTTGACGACAGCCACCCAAGTTTCATTGTGAAAGCAATCATAGCTTACTTATAAACGTCCCCACATGCAAATCAATCAACTATGAAGTCAACATGAAATTACATGAAAACCAGTTTACTTTCGTTATGTGATGTTTGAAACGTGAAACTGGACTTTTTTATCTGTCTATCTGTCTATCTATCTATCTATCTATCTATCTATCTATCTATCTATCTATCTATCTATCTATCTATCTATCTATCTATCTATCTATCTATCTATCTATCTATCTATCTACATTGAAGCTCCTCCGTCTAAACCCAATGAAGCGATGCTGATGTGACAGTGAGACATGAGTCAAGACAAGCCCTGGAGAGACTCTACACGCGTGGTGTGTGTCATATTACTGCGGTCGCTTTAATGAGCTGATGAGCGAGTGTCACGCAACCTTTCAAGAACACGTCCAGCTCACATATAACTCCGAAACTACAATAAGAAGGAAAAAAGAGATTATATTTCACATGAAAAAAAGACAAAAAAGCCTTTTTTTTGCATCATGATATATTTTTTTTTTCACGACAATTAAGCTCCACCCCTCTCTCATTAATAATTCTCAGTATTAAAATGATTGTGATCCAATTTTGTATTCGATCAATTGATGATTAAAATATCATCCTATTTGTTTGTTTTTTGTGTGATTGTTATATAGATAGAATTGCCATAAAACAATTATATGGTTAAAACAATTTCTGAGCATAAATGTATAAATAATATTTTTAACAGTATATTTTAAATTTGACCTTATGTAGAATAACATTTTATTTTACGTTTTTACATTATAGTGAGAATGATATTTATTTATTAAGTTATGTCATTGCAGTGAGAAAGAGATTCTATATTTTATCCCAAAATGGGTTTGTAAGATTCACTGGTGTTACAGATAATAGTCAATAATTAATCTTTGCACCAGTGGCGTAGCCACGAGGGGGCCTGGGTGGGCCTAGGCCCCCTCATTTACATGTCCGGTCCCCTCAGATTTCTGATTGCTTGAAAAAAAAAAAAAGTTGTTTTATTAGGATTGATAGATTGACCAATCAAAATGCTGCGCGGTAAAATGCGGCTTATTTTCAAACTTGATTTGTTTATACGTATAACGTGTTGCGCGTAACGTACGCTGTCATCTTCATCTTTGCGTGAGAGTTAATATGCCGTGACAATGGCAGGCGCTCAAACTCAAAGTACAATATTACACTTTTTTTTAAAAGCACGGAAAGATCAACTTGATATATATATAAATAATGTTGCCCCCTCATTTAAAGACGGGACCCCCCAAAAATTAAATTCTGGCTACGCCCCTGCTTTGCACCTGTTCCTGTACGGTCAGCTGGTGATGGAACATGACGTCATCATTTCACAGGGAAACCGCATGGGAAGGTGTGTTTCCGTTGCCAATATTATGGGTTCGGGGAACATCGGGGAACAGACGGTTTCCATGATGGATAAACAGAAAGAGTGACTCATGGCTAGACGAGCACATATATGGATCTGTCCTCCATGGGCACACGACTCGACCCTGCTTTCCCAACGCGAGCTGATCGTACCCACACCAAACCACACCAAACCACTGCACAAGCACATGCTAAAAAAAGGAAGTCCTAAGTTGTTTCTCATCTGCCCAGACAGACATTAGACATTAGTTGAGCGGAATAAATCGCCCGCCGCAGCCTCGGTTCCTCATTCGGGAGAGCGGCAGGTTTTTATTTTGACCAGTTGTCTTTGGCTTGCTCGTGGATGTCTAGGAACCATCTATGGAAACCGCCTGGAAATGTATTAAAAAATAATCTTATGCTGACAAAAGAAACGACAGTGATTATCAACAGGAAATCTGATGCAACAGGGCTGGATGACAAATCTCAATTGTTTCTCCTAGAAAAACTGAGGGCCTTAAACTGACGATGTCTTAAAATGACTAAATCAAGCATTAAAATGAGGTAAAACAATTTTATATCCTAAAAAAAAAAAAAAGATATCCCAAAAGTCAATGATCTCAATATTAATGTCGAACACTTAAATTCCTAATAAAATGCATAACTGAACTCCTGAGCCATGAAGGAGCGACCACTGAGCATTTTCCCCTCGGTCTGAA